GTGCTCCAGGAAGGGGGTCGGCCAGACGTGAGGCGCCCCCGGGAAGGCACTCGGAGCCTGGAAGGTCTGGTGCAGTGAGGTGCACCGCTCACACCAGGAGCACCCCCGACTGGCCCACCACAGTGCCATTGCCTGATGGACCGTGGTGTGCCATTGCCTGATGGTCCGCTGTCTCTTCTTACCAGACTTGTCCCTGAAGCGTTGCAGCTAGCAGCGTGGTGTTATTCATCAGGCCCGTTTTTGGTATTGTGTAGTTGTGGGTCACGCAACGTTTCATAGAAGCAGGACGTGGGCTCCTGCGGTGCCCCTGCTGTCCCTGTGGCAGGTCGGGGTGTCAGGTCTGTGTGGATTATGGCTGGCATAGGATGGTTCATGTAGTCACCGGGGGTGGAACGAGGTGACTTTGGCAGTCTCTCTGTCACTTAGGGTGCATGGCAGAAGGCTAAAAAATGCAGCTTGTGTTTAATCCCTGGCTCTGTTGCTATTTCTCTGCCTGTCATTTTTGTTCCTAGGAAGCTGTAGCGACCCAATGAGGTCCACGTTCGCTCAGCTGTCAGAGGAGGACGTGAAAAAGAGTTTCTACCCTGTTGGGAGCACCGTGCGTTATATCTGTCGCTCCGGGTACGAGAATGTCAATGAAACGCACCCAACCAGCACTTGCCTTGAAAGTCTAACCTGGTCAGATATCCCCGAGTTGTGTAAAAGTGAGTGGTGTCTTTTTTACGTCTTCCTGTGGATCTAGTAACCAACCTGGAGCAGACAGGACGGTGTTGGGGAGGTGGCCGCGGCTGATCTGTCAGCATTAACTTCTGTGACTTTCCGGTCGAAACATCTTTTGGTCCATTGATTTCAAATTCCTTTTGAGCTGAAAACGAGGCAGTGAACAGCGGACCCCCTCATGGTTGGGCAGTGATCCCTGCTGTGCATCAGTGGGTCAGTGTGGGTGGTATTCCCAGTGCTTCTTCTATACCTGGAACAGAAATCACAAACAATGCAGTAACTATTAGGCGGGGTTTTAAAATGATTAGCGTGATCTCAGTGCAGCAGGTAGGAGAATGAGACTACTCCTGCGGTTTTCTTATGGTGTCAATATGCTGCATCTTCCAGCAGGTGCAAAGGTCTCTTCTAATGCAGGGTTACAGGAACTAGGGAAATGAAACCAGTCTTCAGTTTCCCTCCTTGAAAAAATGGGTTAAATTGTCCAGTACAATTTGCTACAAATGATTTCTGGTGCTGTCTTTAGGTGCAAGTGCACCTTGGCTCTCTTTCCTGTCTTGCCGATGAAGATCATACACGTTTGAGTGCTCGTTTTGGGGAGAAGTACCTGCTGCTTTTCACAGGATCCTAGATAACATTGCACAATGCAGGAGAATGTCAAGGTTGCAAAGGGGAATCGGGCCATTAGAAATGGAGAAGGATGTCTACGGATGAAAAGAGAGAGATCTAATACTCGAACTTAGGTGGTCTGAGGTTGTCGTGTTCTCTTGTAGGGTGCGAGGGAGTTTTCCTTCCTTTTAACATGCCGATGCTAAGCTCGGTCTCTCCTAGGGAAATCTTGCGGTGCTCCAAAAGGACCAGAACATGGCAGAGCTGCAGTTGTAACAGACTTTCTCTATGGTGACAGCGTGGAAATAATTTGTGACACAGGGTGAGTCAAGCTGCGCGGTGAGATTCATGGGGCCGTCGCTGGGGTAGAGCTGCTGGTCAGCGCTGGAACAGGGAGAATGGGAAACCTGGTCTTATATTTAAAGGAAAAAACCC